TTTTCCCAGAACATTCTTTTTTTAAAAAAGCATTTGGATGGAAAAGAAGTGAAGAAATTATGCTCTTTTTAAGGGAAAGGGATTTGATTTGAAAATTGCAATATGGTAGCAATAATTTGTTGGTCAACTTCTCCATTTTTTTGTCTTAGGAGGAACAAAGTATGTTAGCAATGGAAGAGGAAGGAACAGTCCAGTTGCCACTTGAAGGACACTGCAGGTAAACTACTCAGAACTGATTGTGTTCCCTGTCAGTGAGGAACTGAATCTTGGCTTCTCTTGGTGCTTTAGAACCAAAAGAGATGCAATGCAATTGTTTCATAACTGGATTGAGAATGAATGTATTTAACTATTTTCCCCATCCCATTTTTCCAGTTAAACCCCAATTAAAGCTATAAAAAATATTTTCCCTCTGTATCTAGCAGGATTCAAACCAAATTCTGTGATTTCTATTGAAAAAACCCCGCAGCCTTCATTCCCTGCTAGAAGAAAATCTTTGCATCTCCTTTGATTATGATAATGATAACACTGGTGCAAAATTAAAAAGTAGACATTGATTGTATGTCTCCCAACTCATTTCTGGTTTGGTTCTTATTTGGAGCTAAACCTTTAAAAGAGCCTGCCTGCCTATTGGTCTATATAAGGTAAGGCTGGATCATTTCTAGCCCAATAAGGAAACTGCCTTAATTCCAGAGCTGGCCTCTTTCTACTTCCTTATTGCCCATAGTGGCTCTGCATGGCTCTCAGCCAGAAGCCTCTGAGATGCCAAGGATCTAGCTGGGGCTTTTGCCATGTGAAAAACAGATCCTTTGTCACTGAGGGGTAGCTCTTCCTAAGCCACTCAAATCTGAAGTGGGAAAGGAAATTCAGAGGTGATGTGAGTATGCACACATTACTGTTGGTGACTCCTGAAAGAAACCACCTTTTCCTGAGCCCTCATGTTAACCAGGAAAATGGTATGGGTCCAGGAAAATAGGTGCTTGAATGAAGGTGGCACCAATAGGGTGAGAAATAATCATTGAATGCTGTTGGCACTTTCTTAACTCAGTCGGGAAATCCATTACATCTTCAGTTTGCAACTGAATCACTCCAAACTGATTGGAAGGCAGATAATTCAATTCAGTTGATTGAAAGTTTCAACTTGAAGAGTGCTTTGGCTGAACCTCCTTCGAAATAAATTGCCCACTTAAAGTTTCACACAGTTCCAGCAGGTAATTTGAATGAATACCTTAAACAGATTGACACACTTCTCGCTTGAAACACGTCTAAACGATAACATTCAGAAGTTTGATTGTAACTCTGAGCGTGCCGATTTTATTCCAGAGATGACCCATCTGTAATAAATATTTCTGATGAGATGGCAAAAACAGCTGTATGGAAGACACTGTTGATATCATCAGAAAATGCCAAGGACAAGGAGTCCAGCTTTCCTACTAAAAGGTTTTTAAATATTTTTATTTTGTACATTTTTTAAAATGGGGTTGGTTGACTGAATCAGCATATTGAGCTGAACAGATTATTTCATAATTTATGCTAGTGGAGGGTTAAGTATTTGCTTTGCTCAGCAAATTTATTACTTAGATTTACATAATGTGATTGTGAATGCACTCAACTGATTTTGGGGGGAAACCCCAAAGTATGAATAATATAAAGTCATCTGAAGGAAGATCTATAAAAGTGCAGCCTAGATATGTACGCACTAAGCTATTGCACCAACATGCAGCTTCTAAAATAGCGGTGGTCACTTTGTGGCCTTTCAGACATTGCTGACCAACATCTTCAAGCAACCTTAGTCAAGATGGCCAGTGACAAGGGATCCTGCAAATTCTAGTTTGGCAACTTCTTGATATTAATAGTTGCCCACAGTTAGTTTCAGTAAAATTTTTACAGACCTTGGTATGTATAACTTGGGATTTGTTCCTTTCTTCCCCAAAACTGTGAGCATTCCAAGAGAATTTCTAGAATATAGAAATGGAGCCTTTAACAAAATATTGTAATGCATCTTTGCCCCCTTGAAAAAGTGCCTCTGTTCAGGGATCGTATTGGCTAACCTTGCTTTCCTCCAGAATACCATAAGCTAGAAGAAGCTCAGGCAAATATTTCCACCCCAGTTCCCCTCTCTGTTGAGGCCAAGTGGTTATTTGCACTGGAGCTCCCTGAATAGACAACAGGGATCTTTTCAGAAACAATCATATTGAAGATCACATGTAGGCTCCCTGGCATAGAAATCTCTGGACAATACAGCTGCTGTGCCACTCACATGGATCGTGCTAGTCTGTTTGGACTAGCGTAAATCATCAAGGTAACTAGAATCACCTTGGGGATCAGTACAATCCCTTGGCACAGACAGAGTCCTCCATATGGAAATTATCATACTAGATTATCATACTAGCAATCTCTCGTTGCTAGACCTCTTTCTTTTTAAAACTACACAACAGAAGGCTTAGCACACTTCTCAGATGCATTCTCCATTCTGTCCCTTCTTCTTTCCTGATGTTCTTGTCTCACAAAAAGAGCTTGTTTCTTTCAATATAATTATACTACAGCAGCAGGCATTTGATAGCCTTTGTAAACTCTTAAAACTAGCATCAGAGACTTGTGCTAATAATGCCATAGAACTTCTTGCCTTATTCCTTATGATGGGTCTGCTCAGCCTCTCCTGTCATCACCTCTTTTAAAACTGAGCTGAATCACTGGGTGCTACAGAGATTCCTGCGGATATAAGCTGATTCTCATATCAACCAGAATTGATCTATTTTCTGGTGTAACCTGATAGGGAAGGGTTTTACAGATGACTTTTTTTTTTAAAAAAAAAGCATCAAATAGTTTCTGCCTTCAGGTTTATAATCTAATGGCTACAACACAGAGGAAAGCAGGAGGGTGGGGAGCGAAGGGAGACAAATAATGGCACTTTTTTTTTTAAAAAAAAAATTACACTGTGTTCCAGAGTGTAGAAATGACAGGTAGAAAAGAGCTAAAAAAAGGCAGACTTTCCTGTCTGAATCAAATATTATAAATGAAAATATAATATGCATATAAGTAACAATTGAAAAGGGTCCTTCTCATAGGAAGATGACTTCAAGTAGTTTACTTCTGAGAGATCAGAGTATGGAGGGTGTGGGCTAAGTGGCCCTCTCTCACCTTTTCAATCTTCCAAGGCTGCTGGGCCTCTGGAAAAAAAAAGGCAGGTTTATTTGTGTGATAATCTCTGTGTAGAGTGTTGAGTTGAGTGCAATCTTGTTTAATTACTGTTCCCTCAGTTACTATTCATTCTGAATTAACATGATTTTCTACTTGATTGTTCCATTATCACATTCCTACCATAAGCTCCCCTTCCTAATCTCTAGAAGCTGATTTCCCAAAGGTAAGATCCTTTCCCCAAATCTTTGTCTTGATCGTTACTGTCTGGTATCTTTTGAAATTTTTACAAAGATACTATGTGTAAATTTTGGGGGGACAAAATACATTTCAAAATGATACGAAAAGCACATTTGGAAAACTATGTACAGTAGATGCACCCAGCTTCGTTCTACTATAACAGTAACACATGCAACTTGGAGGAGATACTGCTTTTAGCCACATTCCTTAACTTTAATAAAGTAGCAGGAATGAAAGATGTCAGCTTGGGTCTTGGTATTTTGTCACCCCAAAATGGCATGCTGCTTTTGCCGTGGTCTCCCTCTCCCTCAGCAGCATAAACAAGACAATCTGTCCATGGTTGAGATTAATTCATTCATTCCATAGGGTGAGATGCTGCAACAGCATAATTGCAGACCAGAGTCAGCCTCTTCCTGCAGTCAGCATGGTCACTGCTGTTTTTTTTTTTTTTAAATAAAGGGAAGAATGTATTTGGGCAGTCATGTTTCTTTTTTCCAAAATTAAGGATGGGAAGAGAAGCAGGCAGCTCTTGGAGCCACACTGCTTTCATTCCCTCCCTTCACCACCACCATTAATAATAATAATAATAATAATAATAATAATAATAATAATAATAATAATAATAATGATGATGATGATGATGATGATGATGATGATGATGATGATGATGATGATGATGATGATGATGATGATGATGATGATGATGATGATGATGGAAGGGATCTTGGAGGTCATCTAGTCCAACCCCCTGCTCAGACAGGAAACCCTATACAATTTCAGACAAACGGCTGTCCAGTCTCTCCTTAAAAACTTCCAGTGTTGGAGCATTCACTGCTTCTGGAGGCAGGTTGTTCCACTGGTTAATTGTTCTAACTGTCAGGAAGTTTCTCCTTCGTTCTAGGTTGCTTCTCTATATAAAATAATCCCAAAACAATATTCATCTCCCATCCAATGCTTTAATGTCAACGTGGCCTGCTGCAACTCTCTGGAAAATAGACTGAAAAATAATCCCCAACAGATGTCCATCCTGACTCTGGGTGGGTGGCTGTGGTCCAAGACCACCTTGGATGAAAGATAGAATCACACTAACTAACTTTTGTGTCATTTTGATCCTTGATGGAGACTGTCATCACCCTGCTTTGCCAAGGTGGGAGGAAAGATTCAAACTACTCTACCATCCTGTCATTTTCCTGGCTTCTGAATATATGAGTTAGGGTAACATTTTAAAGATCCCTTGGGTAGCTTGGCACCTAATTAAGCAACAATTAGCTCTCAAATGTCTTCCTATTCTAAGTGGGTGCATACTGGTTTTTAATAGCTTAGGAGAAATTTCCTGACAGTTGGAACAATTAATCAGTGTAACAACTTGCCTCCAGAAATTGTAGGTGCTCCAACACTGAAGAGATTGGACAGTAATTTATCTCAAATGGTATAGAGTTTTCTGCTTGAACAGGAGGTTGGACTAGGAGACCTCCAAGTTCCCTTCCAACTCTGTTATTCTGTTATTCTGTAAGCTTCAGCTTCAGCCTGTGCTGATAGGAAATGGTGACGTTGGATTGTACACCAAGAATAACAGAAGAATAACAGAACAGCAAGTCTTTCCAAAGGAGTTCTTTCTGTAGTAGAGTGCTGTGAATAGCCCATCTTCTCTTGTTAGATTCTGGAAGGGCCTGGTTGTTAGACTGTATGTTGGATTACAAGACATTATCTAATTCCTAGATAAGGTGAAACTGGGCCTTGGATGTGCCAGTAATATACTGACCAAAATCTGCCTAGTTCTATATTACTGCCCTTACTGTTAGTAGGGAACATTATTTGTGGCACAAGTACAGCAAAGATTGGTAACAATCCATACAGTCTCATCTTACGAAAATGCATTATGTGAAAGCTTCAGATGATCAAAATCATGATAGGCAGTAGAAGTCAATATTTAGGGGCCCTTCTAATGCTAACTGTGTACGATGTAATACCAAATGATAAAGACCATTAATGAATGTAATGAAATAAAAATAATAGATATGAAGAAAAAAAATGAAAAATAAGAATAAAATGGAACAGATTGAATAAAGGTGGTCTGATCTAGGAGAATGGAGTTGATGAATATAGAATGGAGTTGATGAATATAGGCACAAAAATGAAGCTATAGTTTAATAAAGAATGAAAGGGATAAACTGTATATCAGTAAGTATGGATCGGTATCATCTAGGTTATTATGAAGTTGTATAAATGTTTAGGATTGTGGTAGCTGCATATTACGTGCCAGGGAATGATGGTAATGGACTGACCTGAGTTCTCATTTGGTGGAAATTATGCAATGGATGTTATGGAGGAGGAGAAGAAGTATTATTTTTTTAAAATATATTTTATTGATTTTTTTTAACATAGTCACCTTAAGGTTTGGTAAACAGTGTGTTGTCTGAGTTTATATCTAATCCTAACCCTAACAATTAATTTCTATAATTCCATAATCCACATAGTAGCTTTCTTTGATTTTCTCTTCTTCCAATAATATTCTCTTTTACCAACCTTGAATTAGCACATTTCTTAGTATTTTGATAGATAACAATTGAATATATTTTTTTTTCTAGTATTTAACAACCATGTCAATATAAAGCTTGTTTTCTAATTGATCATCTTAATTACCTCTTCATAGATCCTGTTTTCAAAGTTCTTATCTAGATTTGTTTTCCCCGCAATGTTCAAAACATTCTTACCAGTTAAGATTTTCTCAGAGTTAATTACTCTTAAGTATTTAAGGCTTTTTCCTTATACAAGCCATCCCAACAATTTTACATTTCTCATATCTTAAAAAAACAACAAAAAAATAAAAAGAGAAGAAAAAAGGAAATAGTATACTACTTGAGAAACATGTCCCTCTTAAGCTAAGATACATTTATATCCAAACATTTTCTATTCTTTTTAACCATATTCAAACAAATGTTTAATCTTTAAGTATTCCATCTAATAAATCAAATCATCTAATCTTTTAAATCTATTCAGAACATTTTTATTAATTGAGATTTTCTCAAGATCAATTACACTTGAGTATCTAAAAAATTTCCCTCATATAAACCATCCCTATATTTTTATAGTTCTCATATCATAAAAAAATACTAGGTTACTTGGGCCCATCCCTCTTAAACTAAAATACATTTATATCCAGAATTTTCCTATTTTTTAACCATATTCAAACAAGTGTTTAATCTTTAGATATTCCATCTGATAAATTCCATCTTTAAATCTCTTTCCTCTGGTTTATATTCAGTTGTCTGCTTTATCTGATCACTCTTTATTTTTATTTTCTGAGAGGTTTTTTGGTTATAAGGTTAAATTGAAGTTGTGTTCATTTATATTGTTTTTAATTTCCTCGTGGTTTGAAATCATTGTCATTTGAATTAGTTGCAAAATAGCATACATTTCCTCCTGGAAAGTATTTGTTTTTTTCTTGATATGTTCTTTCTGCAGATCTCTGATGTTCCATGATGACCAAAAACCAAAGTTTTCCTTTCTCTGCAAACAGCTTTAGAGTCACAGTTCAATAAGTTTTTATAATCCAGGAAGGTCAATTTTTTTCCTAAGGTTTATAGTTCTCGCCTTGTAGGTAGCCCAAAATGTTTTCTTTTCTTTGTTACAGATGTTCTCTGTTTAGTTAAGACATTGAAGGTCACAAAAACAAGTTATCTTTTTCTGGGCTTTCTGCTAATTCCTGTATTAGAGCAACTTCAGTTGTATATCTTCATCCACCATGAGATGTCAGCACCAGTTCATTTTTCAGTTTTCAAAGCAAGCAATTACTTTCTTCTGTTTTCATCAGTAATCTTTTGAAAAGAAAATCTTAATAAAATCCACCAATTTCAAACTTACCCAGATTTAAATCTTATATTCATTTCATTTCAATATATTTCTGTCCCCCATAAAAGTTTAATTCGCCGCTTTCTTCTGTGGGAGAGTGGGGCAAGGGTCCCCCTCCTCACTTTCGGAGGATTTTTGCTTCTTGGTTTGTTTTTCCCCAGGAAATCAATTATCAAGTAGAAGAGAGAGAATCGATATTCTTACCCAGTTCCAAACACGTTGTTTATGATCAAACTTAAATTAGTGCTTTTTGGCTTCGGCTGCTTGTAGCTTGGGCTACACTCTGGAGTGGAGCTAGTCTTTTTTCTGCTGGTTTCTGGAGGGCTTTTCCTGAACGACCGGATCGACTGCCATCTCTCTGCAGTCGGCAGGGCTCCCCTCCTTCTTTGTCACCTCTATGGGTGACTTTAGGCCCATTTAGGGTCCCCTAACAAGAAAAAAATCGGCCGTAGGGTCCAGAGCCCCACAATCCCTCGGCTGCTGCACTACTGTGCAAAACTGGAAGCTGGGGAGAAGAAGTATTCTGTTAAGTGACATAAATGGATGGTTGGAGCCAAGGCAAGGTAATGCAGAAAAAAATATTGCACCATTTGAATATGAATAGAATAAGAATGATGACTGTTTTGCAAGCATCTGCATAGAAAAAGATCTGTTTTGAATATGTGGTTTAAGCTTTAGTCTATTCATGCATCCACACAGCAAAAGGATGAAAATACATATAAACAGATAATTTGATTGTTTATAATGAAATTTGAGATAATTAGTGAAGCATAAAATGATGATGAAATATTTTAAACACGGGACATATTAGATAGATCAATATCACAACAAAATGAATGGAATATGGATGTAAGGAAAAGGATATCGAAGATACTTAGTACAAAGTGAACAGAATTGTATTACACAGTGTTACTGAAGTGTATGGAATGGGTAGCATAAAAATAGTTGAAGGGGGAAATGTTGCCATGGATGAGAAAAAGTGAACATAAGAGAACGATTACCTCTAAAACTAAGGATGAGTGAAATATATTAGACAATGTCTATAGAGAGAAAAACAGTAGCAAAGAAAGCAAGTGATGGTAAAGAGGAAAAAAAACAAAGGAAGTCCAACTTTGATGGAAATAGAAAACTTTTTGGAAACTGCAATGAAAAGGACATCCAGCAGAATGAATGGAATTAAAAATGATAAAAAGATTTGTAATTACACTAAAAGGAGACAATGCTGGAATAAACGTTTTAGAGATTTCTATGCAAATGATAATAATATGCAGAACAGTGCAATTGAAACAAATACTAAAAGCATTAGAATCCAAGAAAAAAAAATAAGGAAAAAGTAGTCTTGTATGTTGTGAGAATGTTGACAACTGATAAAGTTGCAGCAGTGGATGATCTAACTGAAGAAATGTTAAGATATAATTATATAGTTTTGCAGATAGATTAATTATTGGAAAAATACTGTAAACATTCTTCAAAACAAAAGGAAAGTTAGTAAAAGGCCAAGACAAAACAACAGGGGAACAAATGTATCTGGGAAGGTGTTGAAAAAATTCTGATTAAAGAAGGTATGAGAGGAGATGGGGACCAAAATTTAATCTTTATGCCTGGAGGAGCTGTGCAAAATAAATGCTTTTCAGCAGAGCACCAATAAATGCATGAACACGAGAAAATGATATTATACATTTCTTGATTTATAGAAACAAATGATAGAGTAGGTGTCATGGAATTGTGCGGCAGCTGTCCAGATGAAGTTGGAGACACTAACACAAACTTGTAGTCTTATATATATATAAATATATTTAACATTCAGACTTACAGCAATCTTTGTCATCATCCAGAAAGAAAGAACATAAGATAGTGAGGAAGACAAGAACATCATGAAGTAAATTAAACAGTATGCAGAACACAGAGAAGAAAAAAGGAGGGGGAAAAAAGGGAAACTCCCCCTTTATACTTACAGCAACCAATCGTAGTGTAGATTGCCTCATGCATGAGTCAGCACTCGCTAACTAATCAACTACAACTGTGTGTTCTGGCCTATTGTACACTTTACTGTTCCAGCTGCTATATTCAATATCCTAACGGTAGGCTTGAATTATACAATTTATTGTGCAAATATAGAATAAATAAACTTTCAAGTAGAACTTCGTATTATGTTGTGTTATAAATATTGCACATCTATTTTTTCTCATTTCCCCCCCAACAGTATGACTTTTTCTTGATGTTGCATTCAAACAACATTACTAAAAGAAAGAGAACATGTACTTATTAATGGATTGACACTTTCGATCCAATCTTTCTGTCAATGGTCATGATAATAAAAAAACCCACCAACAACAATAATAATAAATATGGCAAATAAATTGGATGACGTTCTCTTGTTTCTGCAATAAAAATACCTTGTCAGTTGTTATTTGCAAGAGACATTTTCATTGCTGTTTGTCCCCATGCAATGTACTGTATCTTTTTTTTTTTGTCTTTGTGCATGCAGATTTGTATGTCAGTTTTTTAAAATATCTCTGTGGCCTCCTTCCTTATTTATCTGTGATGTTGACCGTTTTCTTTGTAATCATAATCCACAAACAGCAGACCCATTTCTGTTCTTGTGTCCCAGACTGATCAGTGTAGCATGAGAGCATAGGCTGATAGCATGGGGGCAGGAGGAGGGGGGAACAGAGAGCTGCTTCATTTACTCAGTCCTCAAAGTGATGCATTGTGGAAACACAACTGCACAACTTATTTCTTTCTCTCTTCTTCCCCAACTAGCACTGAAGGCCGACAAGAGAAGAAAGCTGACTCAGGGAAAGGTGTGGATCGTGAGACTTGTCTGTGACTTGCTCTTCAGTGTGTTTGTTTTAAAAAAAGCAAGACAAATGCAGGAGTGCTGCAATCATTAATGTTCCAGATTTGATTGCCCCCTTGTACATCTTGTGCATCATCTCACAGTAGCACTGGTATAATGTAAGTCGTGCAGTATGTGCTTCAGTTCATTGTCTGCTCTTCGGTTCTGGCTGAAGCAATGCAGAAAATGGGGGTAGCCAATGAAACCTTGCTGGGGGTTCCCCAATTGAAACCCTTTGGAAATGTGAACCAGTGTTTCCATTCCAACTACTCTCTGTAGAATTGGACCTATTTTCCTACTTTGCCTATGTGACTTATTTTCATAGCTTTTCCATACTAGAAGAAAACAAAACAAAACAAAAAACAACTGGAAATAGTCTTTATTCATCTGAGTAAATATTGAATCCATATTCCTACAATGGAAGAATTGTATAATTTGGGACCAATTGTTTCAGAAACCTAACATAACAAAGAAAAATTCATTTTTAGAGCTATTTTTCAATTAGGATTGCTTTGATCCTTCAGACTCAACATTCTAATGAGTTACCCCCCCCCCCAAGTTTAAAATCATGGCTTGTATGTGTGGGTGTACGATTGTATGTGTGTGTGTGATTTACAGGATGAGACCTATATTTGTGCAATTTCCTTGATTTAATACTGGATATTTAATATTTAAATTTATATATAACTGGAAAAATAAAACAATATAATATATAAAGATATATAGAATATAGTTAACATTCTCTCATCTTGTTTGGAAAAAAAGCCACATCCATCGATGTGCAATATCCGTACAATATTTGTTGTGAATGCAAGCTGTTACTATTGTATCTTATACTGTACTGTACTAAATGTTGCAGTGGTAGGTCCAACAGCTGCATTGTGGAGATAAATAATACTTTTTTTCTAACTTTCTGGATTATAATCCTTGACAGAAATGATCAGTAAAAATGACCCGGAGTAATCAATAGGGCAATTGCTTCTCACTTTTCCTCAAGTGCATGCTTCCAGGCACAATCCATCTATAGTTAAAATTTTAAGGCCTATTGATTTTAAGTTAATGATTGAAGCATGCACTTCTTTTTTTCTTTTTTGATACCAGTGGGACCAAGGTGTGATTTGATTGTAATTTCATTTATTTCCCATTGCTAATTAAGTTTTGAAGTCAGAATCCCACTGAAATAAAAGTGTTGACATTTAGGGACAAGGCTTTTACTGATCAGATCTCCATTCTACACAAACGTATGTTTAGTCTTTCTTAATAGTTTCATGTATTTGGAATCCACACTCTTTCTGTAGAAGCCATATAATGTTATTATTGTCTTGGGTTTTATGAATAGCCAAATTACATATTTTCATCCCAGAAAACAACTTCAAAGAGGGTCCATTCCTCACGCAGGTTGCTGTAAAGCCATCCTAGTTTTAGTAGGCTGCCTGAGCACAACTTCCTTAGGGCAATTTCACCATAACGATTCTCCCCCATAGACAAACCCATTGGTTGCTCGTGTTTGGCATCTGCATAAGCAACTTGTGGTTGCATATTTTCATGAAGAAGGATTCAGGACTGGATTTTTTTTTTAATTTAGCCTGGTTGGCCAATCTGTTGAAGAGAACGGTTCCATTGTGTGAAGGCAGCTGGAGGGAAAAAAATGTTCCAAGCGGGGAAAAAATGCTCCAAGCACTTGTGAGAATGAATGCATTGTGAGTAAAATAAAAGGGCAATATCAAACATTTTAAATTTATTTTTATATGTTTTTAACTTTTTTGGGGGGGGACATTAACAAACAATTAACCAGATCTTACAAGCTCACCAGTGGTTTCAAGAATCAGGAAAATATACTTATAGGATTTCAACATTCAGGCTTTTTCAAGTTCCAAGTTGCCCCTAATATGGGAAGAATCCTCAGCCGAGTTTTGCTGGCAGGTATAGTAACAGCCGCAAGCAGCAGGGCTTGGATAGCTAGAAGAGAATAAGGGGGCAGGATCAGTGATAAGAATCATCCCTGATTCTTGTTTGCTAGTCAGGGACCTGGAAAGGTTGCAATTGTCGAACTGATTTCTCCATTGAAATGTTTGAGTGGGTGTCATACACTGGAAGTTAGGTCTGTGCAAGAAAAAAATGGGAATCTTTAGATGAAGCATTTATGCCTATTTCTCTCCAAAGGATCATGAATTTCAAAGTAAATACAGTACATGTTGACAGGAACATAGGACCAAAGAATAGGGATTTTCCAGGACAGAAAAAAAGGCACGGTTCTTTTTACAATTTGGAAATGGCTTCACCTTTTAGCATACCTTTTAAACAGTTTGTGTGTGGAAGGCTTTGTTCTTCTGTAGAACCTCTCACCCCGCTAGATCCACCTAATGGAGACCACCAGCAGCAACTAGATTCTGGTCTTTCCTGTAGAACAGGGGTGAGGAACTACAGGCCCTTTATGACTTGTGGACTTCAACTCCCAGAATTCCTGAGCATGGCTGGTTCAGGAATTATGGGAGTTGAAGTCTACAAGTCATAAAGGGACCATAGTTCCTTACCCCTGGTATAAAACATCTGCTACGATTGTAGTCAAATGCATCCACCAGCTTCAGATTTTCTCCGCCTGTTCAAGTGGGGAGTATGTGGTGTTAATTCCATGTTGTGGATGGAGAACCAAGATTAAGGAGCCAAGGCCTTGCCATAGACATGTTCTCTCCTATCGTCAGCTAGAAGAGAATGTATTCTTGCCTTTTGCAAGAAAGTTGTAGCCTTAAGAGCCATTTGTGTCAGATTCACAGCAACCTGCTTAACTGCAGGAGCTTGGGAGTGACTGCTCTGAGAAATGGGAGAGAAATGGCCTCATCCATCTGCACAGGCTACTCTTTCTTCAATGATAGTGGAGTAAGAGTCTAGGCTACCCAATTCCATATGCCTTGTGCTTTGTACACAGTATCACACCAGCTGCTTTTGTGCCAAAAGTAGGCTAAATTAGATTTACATAATGAAAAGCATTGCTTCTGAAGCTATTTTTGATGCCCAATATTTTCTCAGTGTTGTCTAAATTCTTCACATTCTTGTATGCAAATGATAAATTCAAAGAAAAAAAATACTGCACTGAATAAAATGTATGGATAAATTTAGATAAAAGTATGACTCTAATAAGATTAAAATGCTTTGTCATTGTGTACTGGATGATCCCTTGTAACATTCCAAGTGAGTCTTTTAATAGCCATGCAATGCAGAGTAGTCCATGAAGAGAAACTGACCGCTGGTATTTTTATTTTTTTTTAAAAAAATGCTGATTTGCAGAACAATCAACTTAGCTTTCTGGACACTAAAAATTCATGGACTGAATTATATTCTGCAGTATTTCTGTTCAGTATTTTGGAGGGCTCTTTTTTAAAATAGTTAGCCTGTTTTTGTGCGAGTATCAATCCCAACATTTTCAAATCACAGTAAGAGAGTAAAATGCAACTGGCAGTAGTATATTTACTTTTAATTTCCCATTTCCTGGTCAAACTGCTTAATTTCTTGGATGTAATTTATTAAAAAGTTTTAAGTGTACGTGTGAATAGAGTATTGTTTTTTCATGACTCAAGAAATGTTATCCAGAAATAAATATTTATCCTAACTGTTCTTCCTGTTTATATTGAACATGCCTATGTTTATTGCTTATGATGCAGGCAAAATACATTGTCATTAACCTTTTCCACAAATACAAATAAGATTTTATACAAGGATTTAATCCAACATGCACAGCTAATCAGCACTCTCCTGTGACCACTGCAGCAGTGATTTGTTGCTAGCAAGTCCTGGTCTCAGGCCTCTCTTATAGTAAACATGCAAACTTTAGATCCTGCAGTTCTCTGGATCAGGATCCAAATATTAAAGTTCATTATTAACCCTGCCATAACCTTAAGAGATTTTTTGTGCTATTTCATGTCTAAATCAATACATGATGGTTTAATAGCATCTATCAGACTTTAGCTAATCTCAAAAAGCTAATCAAGGTTAGACTGGAGGAGTCATTGGATTGGAGGCTACCAAGAAATTAAAAAAAAAACATAGAGGAGACAATGGCAAACCACTTACATCTTGTTGCCAACAAAGCTATATGGATATATCCAGTGGTGGGATTCAAATATGTGAACAACCGGTTCTCTGTGTGGGTGCCGCTTCCGGAAGTCCATTCTGGGCCTGGGCAACAAAAAATTAGCTACCGGTTCTGCCGAAATGATGCAAACTGACTGAATCCCACCACTGGATATATCTACGAAGCCACCAGAATTTGAGTTCAAGCTAGAGAATTTGTTTGCTACAGAGTAGCATTAATCATTACTATACTGATGAATTCTATACATTTGAACTGATATGAAATTACACCTTAGTATATTTTTTATTTTCTTTTGCAACCCACTCCAGGAATTTTTTTTAAAAAAAATGTAAGGTCTGTGTATATTATATCTAAATTAGGGATGAGCAACCCTTAACAGGGAGGGATAAGGAAAGAGTAAAGCTCGGGTTAGACTTCTCCGTTATCCCATGTATATACTTATCATTCTGAGACGGTTGCATAGCTGTTTTATTAGCACTTCTATAAATGTTAATGTCATTTGAATGTGCCTTGCCTTCCTCCCACCTCTCAAGAGGAAGTTGAATCAACCAATCAGCATGCAGGACTTGCATCTCCACACAATGCTTAGCTGAGATTGGGAGGTATGCCCATGGTTACCTGTCTGCAACCATCTGCAACCTACGCTTATCCATCAACCCTCTTCTCAGCCTAGGTATGTGTCGATGCTACATGCAGTTGCAGACAAGTCTAAATCAAGCGTTAGGAGGAATGGGGGTGTTAAATGTCTTTGAGTTCCTATTTGATCCCCACACAAAATGGCAAGAAACTAGGCTGCCAGGGTTCAGCAATCATGATCAGAGCAGTCTTTAAGGGACATATGTGGCTCTCGGGATGCAGATTGTCCCTCCTGTTCTACACATTTTACAATTATGTAGAACTGTAGACCCACGTATGCAGACACTTGAAAAAAAGCCAATGTGAACCCATTAGGACTAATTCTTTACATATGTATTAGATGGTGTTATTCTTGGTAAAACTAAATCCAGTTTTCTTTTTTTTCACTGCAAGTCTACAATTCTATTTATGCAAGATCAAATTACATATGTATTTGATGGACTTCATGAATGATTGCCTGTTTTTACTTTAAAATTCAGGCATCTGTGGATTTTAAACAGAGCTAGCAGGAGGTATTCAAAAAGTAACAATATAGGACTGCTTCCTGGTGCAGAGACATGCGGATTATGACACTTTATATCTGCTTTATTTAACAAGCTTCCTGCACAACTTTCACTTTGAAGAAATCAGAATACATTTACTTTCCCTGCTGAATCTAAAATCTTTATGACATGTATCACAAAATGATTTTTGTTCTCCACACAGCTCTCCTCTCCCTTCCCTTGTCTACTTTGAATTCACACCTAATGTCACTGACAACTCACCATGCCAGAAAAAGTAAGATTTGACACTGACTTAATATAACATACTCAACAAATTTTGTTACATGATACTAATATGAACTGTCGCAATTATGAAAAGCTGCTAATATTCACTAAATTAAAATTTTCCACTCATTAAAGAGACTCAAAGTACAATCGTATTAATTCCGCTTTTCCCAACCTGGATGCCCTCCAAATGATCTTCAACTCTCAAAAAGAGAGGGAAGCATAATTAATAAAAATCATAATTAAAAGCAAATTAAAGTAACATAAAAATCATGATCAATTAAACTGAAACACTATGATGATGCCTATTATGAAAATGTAAAAAGTGTGGGCCAGAGAAGTTCCCAAAGTTTAGGAGCAACAATGGAATGTACTCTAAATTGTTGCAACATCTGTAGCTGAGGCTAACAAAGACTTCATCACATGTTTCAGTCCTTGGTAGTAGAAAATTATTTTATTGCATTACAGTTAAAATACCAACTTTTGCAAGGTGATCTATTTTAACAATCCTTTTTAACCATATTGAACCTTTAGAAGATTGTGCTAACAAATTACATTCATCCAATATGACTCTCATGCATAGAAAAGTTCTGAAACCATGTTTTGCATCCCATTCTCATAAATTATATTGCTCACCATAACAGAGGAACCAGATTATTGCTGTCTTCATGATTCCTATGTATGATGGGTACTTATAATTATATCATACAGAGAACCAAACATGTACCACGGGTCTTAAATTTGATATTAATGCAAATGAGATATGTTTAATACAGAGACTAAATATCTAATGGCTCAGAAAGTAGGCAATCTGGTTCCAATTCCTGTGCTAATTCTCATCCTGTACCATCTAACCTTGCTCTTCCATTCCCAATTCTGTGGAAACCCTGGGTCTCTCCTAGTGATTGTTTAGAAATGTGCATTTGGCAGATTAGATATTCACTCTCACCCAATCTGGAGCCCCCTGCAGGCAGTATCACTGGAAATGCTTTCTATGTTTGGACTAATCATACAGGAAAAGCTATTTCCACTGTATTGGATACATGTTGGAGACGGAAAACGTAAGATTATCTGGTATAGCAAGCATATAAAAAAGCAGAAGGGAGAAAATTGGCTGCTTGCTGGCGCCAACAGCCTTAATAAAATCCCTGAGGCACCCAGATGTAGCCACTCACACCTCCACTTTGCTTAATGCTAGATGCACAAACCAAACACATTTCGCTTTTTTCCAAGTATCCTGCCATTCTCAAGGTTGAAACCTGGCATCATTCACTTGGACAGATTCATGAAAGCCCTTGGTGAGCTGGCCCTGGTACCCTGCCTCCCAAATGCCCAATGGGAACAATTCAAGTAGCTGGTATTTTCATTGTTAGGTGAGTATCAAGTAGTTCTGGAAGTAGTCTGACTTGCTGGTTCTAGAGCAGGGGTCCCCAACCCCCGATCCGTGGACCAGTACCGGGCCGCAATAAGCTAGCAGCCAATCTGCACAAACAAGCAAAGGCCCATCTGCAAGATGCAGGCAACACACAAAACCACACACCTTCCGGTCTGCAGAAAAACCTCTCTCCACGGAACCGGTCCCTGGTGCCCAAAAGATCGGGGACCTCTGTTCTAGAGTGTCTCCTGGAATTCCCCCCCCACCCAAATATTCCAGATAGGAAAAAAACATTTTAATCTTCCGGTCTCTCCTCTCCTTTTCCATCTATCTGGAGGCATATTCCAATAAAACTGCCATCTTGACTTTAAAGAAGTTAGAAGCTTCTAGGGCAGGGTCTTTCCTCTCTGTTTAAGCAAGACGTTTGATTGCAAAACTCTCCCATCACAGATTTCCCTATATCAGCTACTGTTTATTTCGGTAGAAATTTATAGAGAGCTGCCACATAGGTTTAGGTCAGGGGTAGGCAACCTTGGCTCTTTTATGACTGGTGGACTTCAACTCCCAGAATTCCTGAGCCAGGCATGCTGGCTCAGGAATTCTGGGAGTTGAAGTCCACCAGTCATAAAAGAGCCAAGGTTGCCTACCCCTGGTTTAGGTAAAGAAAAACTAAAAACTAAAACTAAAACTGATACTTATTGAAATGCTAAATTTTCACCTAAAATTAATACAGAGAGAACTCGAGCAGAAATTCAAGTATATTTTCCTAGCTTGTAAGGAACAGCTGATGAACCTGGATTAAGCCTTCTTTCAAAAGAACAAGTTCCATATAAAAATAATAATTAAGGCAAGATTTCTGCACCCAGGGCAATGGTTGCTTACTGCAAGGAAACTTGCATTTAAAAAACACTTATTATGCAAAATAGTCCTTAAGAAAAAAAAAAAGACTAGAGCAGCTCTTACAGGAACGATAGGGATCTGCAGTTCTTTGGTTTGTGCTCAGTGGATCCCTGCAGGTAATTGCAGAATGAAAAAAAAATCATGTTTTCTTCATTCAAGTGTCCACACAAATTAAACAGACTGTGTCATCCAATGAAATATGGGACAATTTACTAGAAAAGTGCTCTTAAGACTTCAGAAGTTGAACAGCTTCACACAGATAAGGCACTCCCAATATTATGGCAATTTAAAACACTGTTTCATAAAATGACTCATGTGTTGGTAGATATGGCTGTGGGCATGTCCTCCAATTCCATGATCTTTATCTGTATACCACTGAAAAAAGAAAAACAAAAAAAAAATCAATTATAAATGACCCATCACAAAACTGGAACACTACACGAATGCTTTGTATTAAAGCATATAACACAATTTATTACTCGAGATGATAAAACGTACATCCAGCATGCTGGATAAACAGAAACAGTACTTTTATACCACTGAAACCAGAATGTAATGAAAACATTTGAAGAAAGTTGATTTTGTTTGTTTGTTTGAGGGCTAAAAATGGTAAATCCCAACTTTAATTTGCAATAAAAATTAACAGGATTCCTTCAATTATGGATTGTTTCACATTTTGTAAATTTCACACATAAAAAGGTGCCATTGAAGTCAGGTGGTTATCATATGATAATCATGATGATGACTCTTGATCAACAACTAATGTTAATGCATACTAAGAAGGTGAGAAGATAATACTTGAGGGTGGAGTAGGAAAAAGATGGAAGGGAAAGACTGCATTCTGCCTGTCTCCTTCTGAAAGGGAAGGTGGATAGAGGGGCTTTGCTTCCAGATAACTACATATCATAAGATATGTTGCCTGAGAACTGACTGAAAGCTTCTCAATGCTGGAAATCCATTCTTGCCTTATATAAGTTATGAACAGAGCTCCTTCAGTTTTCTCTTTGCCTTGGCCATATGAACCCTCCAAAAGTAATTCCTGCCCTAAGCTTAGCTCCAGAGCAAAAGTAAGCTACAATTAATCACCAGTATTTAGAGCTGGGGAACTGAGCCTAACTTTAGAAGTGTCTTATTGGGATGAGGGAAGCTAGAAATGGGCAAGGCTACCCTCTTCAACAGGTCCATGCACTATTTATGCCGGAGGCGGGGCTGTACAAAAAGGCTCCTTGAGGCAAGAATAGGCTTGCTCAGATCTGCTAAATGGCAGCCATCTTACTAAAGATTCCCTGTGTTTCTTTGCTACAGATTTTTTTTGCAGCCCAGATCTGGTCAACCTAGATTAGATCAGAAAGAATTTTGGGAGATTATACACATTCTTTGTAGAAAAGCTGAGAGTTGGTATGCTGTGGATGCTGGACTTAGGGTTAGTGTTCAATTCCCACTTAGGACTGGGACTGAGAGCACTCGTGTGGTAATAATGTAGATAATACTGCTATGGTGTAGATAAGATCAACACAACTATACCAGAATCTAATTGAAGGCCTGGCCAAATACATCTCAACCTCTTTTATGGGTTTATTCATCTCTTGTGTACTGGAACATAGTGAGTTGGATTCCAAGGAGGGAGGGGTGTGATTTCAGAGAAGCAGAGAACTCATTTCAGATATTTGGGGTGAGAGAAAGAGGGCGAAGACACCCCCCCTCTAATAGTTCTTTGAGCATAGGCTTGCACATATAGCAGACTACTTTAGTTTGGCAAGATTCTGCCTATAGGCATGGATCAATAAAGAAATCTGTTTAGCAGAATCACTATGTATCCTTCTTTGATGCCTGACATCTGCAACTTTCAATGATAGGTAAGAACATTTGGGAGAAGATGGGATTTGCGTAACCATAGCAACAGTTGCTCTCATCAGCAAGCCCTTTGTGTGCTGGCAGACCATGCAGCACCCACAAGCACCAATGTGCCCTACATTCCACAATGCTCAACAAACTCTCTTCTGCCTGGTTTCTCTTGAAAGATCATTTTAAAGAAAAATAAATTAAGTAGCTATAGTTTCTAGGGCTGTAGCTATTTAGAAGAATACATCCCCCCCCCAAATTTCTACTGGGATAGTTACAAGCATCTTGAGGAACTTACTTTCTGGTAAATGGATATTTTATGCATTGGCCATGCTCACTACTGAACCCATTCTAAGGATGGGCAAGTTTCTATTTAGTGAATGTATCCATTGTATATTCTCAAGTTCCCCACCCTTACCTTAGTACCTCTCAGTAGCAAGAAAATTAAATCAGTGCTGCTTAAAAAAAGGGGGGGGAACCTTTGCTATCTACTCAGTGGATTGTATCTTCTCCCTTCCTAAATGCTCAAGAATATATTACTGATGCTGCTGCACATAATTGGAGCTTTTCAGCAAATGAAGCCAACTTCTTCACTTTAAAGGAAGGGATGCACACGCATTCTATTTTCTACAATGTCCTATCTGCAACGTTGCTTTCGGCAATGTGTACACCCCCTTTTACAAACCTCCTCCTCTTATACAGATAGTTCTTGACTTATGATCAGTTGCTTAGTGACCAAAGTCAGACGGACCCTTCCCCCAAACGTATTACCTGGTTCCAAAGTTGCAATGGTCAACTGCGGTCACATGACTGCATTTTGAATACTTGATGACTGGGTCCACATTTATGGTCATTTGCAGCATCCTGCGATTATGTGACTGCAAGTTATGATGTTTTTGCCAAAAAGTGGCATTTATTTCTGGTTTTCAGAAAAAAAATGCCCCATAACAAACAGTGGGTTCACTTAACGACCGCAATGTTGGCTTAATGACTATGTGAACCGCTTAACTTCCATTGCAAAAAAGGTAATCAAATCAGGGTTGTCACGGGATCACTTGCTTTATGACTGTCATGACTTATAATGGGCAGGCTCCATTAAAGTTGTAAGCTGAGGACTACCTACATTTACTTCTTCACTGAGAATGTAAACGACATGCATGCTAAACTGCTGATTAATTTCTTCACATACCATTGCTTGGAAATCCACCTCGGCATCAACCAGAGCTTTTGAAATCTGGGCTGCTTGCTGAAAATGAACATTATCTAGGAAATAAGAACAGACAAACTGTCACAATAAAAGCAGACTATTGCTTAGATGGAAAAAAAGAAGGGAGAACTCATCCTGGAGCTTTACTAGAGATTTCCAAGATGTGAGCAAAGCAGTCCTCAAGGTGGTTGCTTTTTTTGCGGGGGGGGAGGGGTTGTTTTGTTACTATTATGTTTCCCTAAAAATAAGACCCACCCCTGAAAATAAGCCCTAGCCTGATTTTTTGGGGGAGTGGGCCTAATATAAGCCGTACCACAAAAAATAAGCCTGAGAGGATGGGCATGGACAGCACAAGAGATGGCGAACATGCTGGCCCCTTCGTGCGGCACAGGAAAGTCCGAGCATGGAATCAGAGGCTGGGGGGGAGGGGATTCAGGTGAGCTGGATATGCTGCACATCCGCCTGGCTCACAGGAGGCTCGCGGAAGCTTGTGCGACAGGACTGGCAGCAAGCGGAGGCAGAGGCATGGGAGGGGAGGCAGGTGATCCCGGCGTGGCTACGGGCAAGTCGAGAGCTGGTGGGGTAGAGTGGGTGGTGCGTCGGGATTGCCTGCCTCCCTCCCCATGTCTTTGCCTCTGCCTGTCTCCGCCACACACTTTTCGCCCAGAGGGAGACTGGAAGCTTCGTCTGCTTGCAAATGGGGCGCTTTGAAACGGAGCGATTCGCTCCGTTTCAAAGTGCCCCATTTGCAAGCAGACGGAGCTTCCAGTCTCTGTCATTTCTCTGTCCGGGTGAAAAGTGCATCTGCCCTGGGAAGCCCTATAAGGCGTTGTGGCTGCAGGCAAGCAGATGGTGGGAGGGAGGGGGTGGGCGGGCGCAAAATATAACACACACACCCTGAAAATAAGACCTAATGGGTAGGTCTTTCAGTCCAAAAATAAAATAAAATAAGACCTGGTCTTATTTTCGGGGAAACACAGTAGTAGACCCATTCTCTGTATGACCAATGAGGTCTAACTCTGCTTACCATCTGCTGTTCCATGGATCAATAGATAGCTGACTGTCCGGAAGTTTTCTGCTCTAGCCATAACTGTAGAGTTCTAAAACGTAAACATAAATAAACCACACAACCCTCCATGTGAGTAACTCAAATACACATTAATACCACAGGTTGCTATTTTAATTCAAAAGGAAAATAAAGGTTATGTCTATAAGACCATACTATTCATATAACATTCCTAAATGGAAAAACCTCTCTGTGCCTATCGTGAAGATGCCCTTAAGTTGACTTCAGGAGACACAGATGCAGCTGTTCCCTCTAAAGTGCTGCTGAAAGCTTCAACTATCATCACAAATATATCCAAAGACAGAACTCTGATGATGGAAAAATGTCACTTCTGGATCTTATTTTACTTCCTGAGAACAGAAATGGAATGGCTGTGGGTTCACTTAGAGAAGTTTATAGAAATAAGCTTTTTAACTTGCAAAGCTGACGTTCTAATTACTACACCCAGATTTTAAATGGAAAAACGTAACTTCTTCATTTATCTAAATGACCCAACACTTTGAGATAACTAAAAAAACTGTATAAAAGCTACTGCTGTTCATGCTCTGAAGATAAATTGCAAAATATGAATCTAAATAAGTGGAAGTAACACATTGCACGAACCAAAACATAGCTTAGAGAAATTACTTCCCCACTGATGCTCATTACAGCTTTGATAAAAAGAACTCTCTGATATGTTTGCTACTAATCACCTAGGGTTTTAGTACCCGTTCAAGCTATCTATATAAAAATGTTCTGTAAATTTAAAAATTTATCTCGCACATATATACTGTGCCCACAGATCGGAGGCAGCCATTGTGTTCAACCCTGCAAAGCTGTGTATGCATGTGTTTGTGAAAGCTCACATCCCACTTGCCAACTTTGTGTTGACAGCACAGGCTTCTAGCTTAGGGGAATAAACAGAAATAACTCTATGTCTGTTGTTCCCCTTTCGTGATTAGTGCCCTCAAGGTAAACGTACTTGCCACTTTTCAGCAGGAAGATAACTCGGCTTCTGACGTGCAGTGAGTAGATGTGTAAAACTATAGTATGACACTGCACAAAGTTGAACACTGCATTTCCCTGTGTTTCTCTGGTGCTCCTCTTTGGGACTTGCAGTGCTCAGCATGGATGCTCTGTATGGAATCCAGTGACAATCAAGAAAGAGATAATCTATGCTATATTTTAATAGCTCTTCGCTCTCCTGGGAAACTGACCTGATTTTTTTCATCCTTCAATTGTTCAGTTTGTTGACTGTGACCAATTGGGGTGGGGTGGGTGGGAATGTAAGGTCAGTTTTGAATATAACTTATTGCCAAAAAATAAGACCAGCCAAAAATGGAATCACCGTTCTCAACTGCTCTTTATTAAGCCACATTTGCCTAATTCTTATCGAATGAATCTTTACAAGGGAGAAACGGACTCAGGAAATAGGCTTCAGAGAACTTTTACAGGCAAGGCAATCTGTGTCTGCCTACACTCTTTTCATGAATCCAGCTGCAAAAATGCCCTCTGCTCCTCTCTAACACCAAAGCCACAGCAAGGAGTGCTCGCTTTGTGAAAAGATCAAACAGCAGTCAACATTTTACCAGCACTCAATAAACAAGTTAATATTTGGCTGAAATCTGAAGGTCTCTCTCCCTTTGGCATATTTCTTGGATAACAGAATAAATGTCATACCAGTACAAGATGGCATATTTACAAAATTGTACCCTGTTTTGCATAACCTAATGATGCAGCAGTTCTTGAGGAATGAACATTTCAAATCTGCTAGTAGAAGATTGCCAAATCTATGACTGCTTCGAATACTTGCCAACAGCATATCAAATTCAGAGAGATCTGCAAAACAACCTCTTTCACAAGTTTAACAGTCCCCCCCTCCCCTCCAGTGCATGGTCTTCTGGCAGCACATGACAGCTACTATCTGCATCACCCTTCATTCCCACCCACCCCCCCAAGTCATCAATTCAGCCCTCACCCCCCCCCTCCCCTTGCACATGTCAGTCTGGTTTCCTTCAGGCCTTCTCCTGATCTTCTTTTGGGAACATTTACAATTTTAAGGCTCATCTATCTGGCTTAAAATCTCTTCCCAGTTTGCAATCCAGAGACACTTGTGGAGTGACCTGTCCACAATGCACGTGGCATTATTCTTACTGAGTTTACTGCCACCTGGCTCTCCACCTTCTTCTATTTTACAACACTTGCTCCGGTGCTGAACACCACAGTACAACTTGGGAAGGCATTGCTGCAAAATTGAACGGCACAAAGGGTCTGGCCCGGGCCTGCTTCACGGTCCTTCATCACCTGATGACTGCCATATCAAGTGAGGATATTTAAAGGCAAAGCCTCAGTCTGATGTGATGGACAGACTGATTTTAGCACCAATACCATCTCACAATATCTGGTCACAATGAGTCCCTTTGAATGTTCACATGTTCAGCTGTTGGGGGGGATCTCCCTGAACTGCAATATGTGCTTGGGTGTGTTGCATCACCAAAGATTAATAATTGCTGGTGACTTGTGATGCCGATACCCCAATTGGTATGAGCAGCTTTTGAACGGAAATCACTTGCCATGAGAAGACAGGCACTGTATGTTCTGATTTAAACTGGGTTTCACAAAAGCAGCACTCTTAAATGGTGGATCAGTACTACATATCACTATGAAATGCATCGGCTCCAGGACAGCCTGCCTGCAGCCTTAATATTCACAGAGATAAATTCCAGCCAGCGTGGTTTTATTTCCTTGAGAAAATAAGGAGGAATTCTTGAAATGGCAATCAAGTACATGACCATCCGTTTAATAGCAACACAGGGAACGTGCTCCCCAACCTGGAGAACACAAGACAGACTTTTGTAAAGGAGCTTCTGCCTATACAATTATCTATACTAGAAAGGTTTTTGAACCATAAGAGTATCAATTAAAGCGAAATAATGAACCTCTACCACTGTTATAGTTGATTCTGTAGATTGTGCACTGAGCTGACTAAGGAAGGAAGGAAGGAAGGAAGGAAGGAAGGAAGGAAGGAAGGAAGGAAGGAAGGAAGGAAGGAAGGAAGGAAATATCAGGATCTCTGAAAGTGAGGATATTCTGAGGAGTTCTTTGAAGAGATGAAAACTTGGGCCACTGAAAGGGGAGAAACCTACTGCAAATAATATCTTAAACCAAGTAGATTTTCGTTCCTTGCTACTTATAACATGAACTGAATTAAACATTTCTTCCTTCAGGGGATTCACAATAAGTCTCTTCCGTATCTTCATCTCTCTCTAACTTTCAAATTCTCCCATTTAATCCTCTGAGTAACACACTGGAAACCTTTAGCTTTTGGGTACTGGCAGTTTCAACGTGGACACTGCCAGCAACGAATGCCATGCCAAGAGAAGTCGACTCCTGGCAAAAAGAAAGATTACACAGTCCTCTGGAGCCATCTGTGCTGTGAAGCTGCAGAGTGACACAGTGCACCCAGAGCACTAACATTTCAATCTGTAAAAAGTTAAGAGACTTCCAATTCCATAAGGGCTTTGTGGATCTGCTACTCTACAAAGTGACTTATTAGAACCCAAAGTTATTCAGCAAGTAACCTTCCTTCCCAAATATAGCAAGCACGGATGGGTAGGGTAGAATAAAGATTTCATAACTAGTTGGACTTAAATTAGAAAGTTTTACTGAAAACCCAGACAACTTTCTAAGTTTAAATCTCTCCTAGACTCGAGAAAGGGGCAGCAGGTCACCAAAGGGCCAAACTGTGAATCCAGAGATTCCCCCCCCCCAGAGACTGTAACAATTTCTTTCATAACTTGATAAAAACAATGGACGAGCCCTACTGGACTGGATCAGGCCAAGTGCACCTCACAAAGACCTTTGACTCAACTGCTTGGAGGAAAGTCACAAAAAGGACATGGAGAAATAGCTGCTGCCCACATTTGAATGAGTTCTGTTCAGGACTTGGAAAGCCATTTTAAAAGAAAATTACAGGGAACAGCACCACCGAGGGCAGGGAGTTCCAACAATTAATTATGAATGTGTAAACAAGTTCTTTCTTTCGCTAGTCCCAATTTTTCCCACATGTTCTTTCATGCCATGATTCTCCTCCTGCTAAGGGGAGGGGGGGGAAAGACTGTTCAATTTTTTTTTTTACATTATGCATGACTTTCAACACTTCACCCATCATGTCTTTTCTTTCTCATCTTCACACCAAGCTTTTTGTTTTGCTTTTTAGAGACAACCATAGGCGACTACAGTAAAGGAGGACCTTCAAGTACAAGCTGCAAGTTTTACGCGATATACATTTCATCGCGTGTTGCACCCCATCGATTGTTTTGAATGTCCTTTTCTTTGCCTTTTTTTAGCTTGCAGTGCTATATTCTTTATATATATATATAATTAGTTTTTATAGGAGTAGGAATAGGGTGGGGTCGGGATTTGGGTTGGGGTTAGGGTTTTTATAAATAACATTTTCAATATTTAGCAAACAGCATAATGTCTAGGTTCATGTGTTTAAAGAAAAAAACCCAATGAGTAATAGTTAATTATCATAAACAATATGATAATTAATCGCTCAATGGTCTTCTTCTTGCGAATATATATTCAAAGTTACATATCACATTCCTTTCTCTCTAACTCAGACATGTCAAACACAAGGCCCGGGGGCCGGATGCGGCCCGCAAAGTGGTTTCATGTGGCCCGCGAAGCCATCTTGGAAACAGTGAGGGAACGGCCCCCGCTGCCTTGGCCCTGGCCCAGGCCAGCCGGGAGCCAATATACAATTTTGTGGTGGCCATCTATGCTGAAACGCATTCAGTCTTAGCTCCACAAGGCCGTCTGGAAACAGCGAGGAACCAGCCCCTGCCGTGTCGACCCTGCCCCTTGGGTGCATCTGGGGAGGTGTCACCCTTTGTGAGGAATCATGAAATGGACCATGCCTTGGCACTTGCCCCGGTCCCACCCCTTTCTGCCAGAGACCCTCAGATCTGTCCCACTCCTGCCCAGGCCTCCACAGGCAGCCTTGATGCAAATGATGTAGAGCTGGCCATGCCCACCCAGTAGGCCATGCCCATCCAGTAGGCCGCACCCAACCTGGCCACACCCACCCAGCCCCCCGAGGGCAACCGCAATGCTGATGTGGCCCTCAATGAAATTGAGTTTGACACCCCTGCTCTAACTCATTTTTCTAGCCACTGATAAAAATTATCCCAGGTTCTAAAATACACTGAGTCTTCTTTCTCTTTTATCTTTAAAGTCAATCTATCCATTTCTGCACACTCTAAAGTTTTCTTAATTAATTCTTCAGTTTGTAAATTTTCATTTTTCCAATATTGGGCAAATACAATTCTTGCTACAGTTAGTACGTGTAGAATTAAATATATACAGTCTTTCTCATAATTTGCTCCCCTTATTCCTAACAAGAATAATTCTGACTTAAAGTCTATTTGTTTTTTAGTCGTTTTCTCCAACCATAAATGTATTTTGAGCCAAAATCTTTTTTTGCTTTAGGGCATGGCCACCAGATATGGTAATAAGTACCTGGTCTTTGTTTGCATTTCCAACACTTGTTTGAAGTATTTTTAAACAGTACTATTTCTGAGGGGTAGTAGCCAGAAAGATGCACAGTATTTCAAGAGTAGTCAGACTATTATAGAATTCTATAATGACATTAAAAAAAAGTTAAAGCTTTCCCCTCTCCAGTTGTGTCTGACTCTAAGTGGCAGTGCTCAGCTCCATTTCCTAGCTGAGGGAGCCAGCGTTGTCCAAAGATGTTTCCGTGGTCATGTGACCAGCATGACTATATGCTGAGGCTCATGGAACACTGTTACCTTCCCACCAAAGTGGTACCTATTTATCTACTCCCAGCTGTATGCCTTTGAACTGCTAGGTCGGCAGGAGCTGGGGCAGGAATGAGAGCTCCCCCTCTTCTGAGGTACTTGGGTCTCAAATGGCCAACCTTCCAGTTGACAAATCCAGCATTGTAGCCACTAGGCCACCGTGCTCCCTGCATAATAACATTATAATGGCAGTTTTATTTCCTATCTGAAAGGAAAACTGACTAACTCATTTGGACCCACTCTGTCAACGCTGCTAACATCGGATGTTCTTGCTTTGACAATATGGAGACGCAGCCTTTTTCTTTCTTATGCTTTACTCTTAGAATTAGATGATACTGGAGGGGGGGAGGAGGAGGAATGTGATGGGAGTTAGTTAGACATAATAGTATTGTAATAGTGTGTGAACTCAGGGCTTTTGAAATAAGAGATGATAAGAAATGGCGGGTTGGAGAACAGGAGGGAAAGCCTGTATTTCAAACTAATTGGAGAATGTGATTTATGACTGTTGATTAGAGGAGGGAATTGTGTTTGATACTATGTGTTAAGGGGAGGGGAATTCAGATTTTGGCTTCGCTTATGTATGTGCCAATGCTATGCTGCTCGGATAAAGATTCTTTAAGGTAAACAATGCCTCAAAGTTCTTTGAAGAGTTTCATCTGTCGGAACCATGACACTCATAAACAAGATCCAGGCCGCCTGAGATGACCCCATTCTGTCTTCGCTATTTTGTGAGGTAGCCTGGAGTGGATGAATGGGACTGCACTCTTCTAGGTTGCAGCAGTATTGGAAGTTGGGACATGAATAGGTGGCTCTGCAGAACTCCAAGTTTATTTATTTAATAGGTTTGTATAGTTGCCCATCTTGGGGTTGGGGTTTGTTTGTTGGGTATATCTTTGAGTCAGTTTTTGACTCCTGGTGACGGCCTAAACAAGTCTCAGCACTTTTTCTTGGCAAGGTTTTGTTTTTAAAGTGGCTTGCCAGGACCTCTGTCCTAGGGCTAATAGAAATTCACTGGCCCAAGGTCTCCAGCTGGCTTTGTGCTAAAGGTGGGAATAGAACTCATAAGTTTCTAGTTCAGTGCCTTAAAAACTACACCAAACTAGTTTTCAAATTTCAGAAATCCAGATTTATTTAAATGATTTGTATGGCTGCCCATCTTAAGTTTTTTTAAGTTCTAACACAAATTATCTCATTGTCAAGCTCTCATTTTCATCATTATGGCTTTTATTTATTAGAAACGTAGGCTTTTTCTCCATAATTCACTCTTCCCTGTTCCCTCATTAAACCTGAACAGCAGATGCCCAGTAGCAGCGTTTGTTACATGGCTGCTTTTTCATCAAGTAGCAACTGGAGGAGCAGATATACTGTAGGATAACAGGTCTCAGCAAAAAAAATTCTGCCTTTGTCCACAATGGGTTTTGTGATGTATGTGGTCAGTGTGTTAATTCAATTGCATGTCTATTTCTATTTCAAAACAAGATATCTTCCACCCATTTTAAATCTCCTTATCAGATGTACAACCTCAACATCCATTCCATTCCTTTGGGCTTAGTTTTTGCACACTTCAACAGGTGTTCAAACCCTGTAGATGTGTCAGAGTGCATGAATTTTTATTAGGATGTAATGGAAAAATAGAAACAGTATGCTTAGAATCATAATTTACTATAAAGTTCTTTTCGGAGCAAGGGTATCATAAACGTGATATGGAAGAAACAGAAACATGCACACAACATACTTGAGCACAAAATGTACAGATATGCACTGGCATGTACAGACGCTGCAATAGGATATATAACAGAACATGTGCTTGTTTAAGAGCAAGGTTAGCAGAGGTATATCTCAGGCTACTATCTCACTGCTCCTGGAGACTATACCACCATTTCAATGCAAACTTCAAAAGTCAAAGAACAAATGCCTAAATCTGTTTTAGTGGAGAAATGCCACAGATTAAGAAAGAGGGAAGAAAAAGATGTTTTCATGAGTATCTGGTCAGATCCATGCAACCACATTCTTGTGATAAATGTGCCAAGTGACATAAGGTTAAATAGGGTTTATAGTCTCTGGGCTGCAAATATTCAGATTACACTAAAAGCTGCAAAGTACAATCTGCTGCCACCTAATGGTTGTCTAGATTATTGCAACCCAGAGGTTGTAGACAGAGTGTCTACAGAACCCACATTTCTACAGAAGGATATATCAAATAACATACCAAATTCATTTCCCTAATAAGACACAGTTTCACAAAAGGTATTTATAAATATTTATATTCTAATAGAGAACAGATGGAATCCATATTCCAAAAAAATGCAGTCACCTAACCTCTACAGTATAGCAAAACACTGTAAATAATTTAGGAAACATCTGGAATATATTAGCAACACTCAACCGAAACTGTTAGAGTATTCTTCACCTAGAACAAACTATTGCTTCTAATGTCCTAAATAAATTACCATATAACCACCTCTCTATAAGTAGGATAGAAAGGGGGGGCGACTGCTATCACAGCTTACTTCTCACGTTCCCCACATGTTCTGTAGGACTTTGTGTGCGTGAGTGTGATCCAAAATTGATTGTAGAAGTACAGGGAAGAAGAGGTGAATGGAAATCAGGTTGAGTGAGATTCAACTTGCACTGTTGTTTTATTTTTGTACAGTAAGTATGAAAGATATCTCCTTACCTCATAGAAATTCAGGTTATCGTTTTTTTCAGGCAAACCCATGTAGCGTTCAGTATATATAGAATCTAGGATGAAGGGGGACACAAAAAGAAGGCATTGTGCAATATCTATAGGGTATGCTTACTTATTTAACTCCAGTGTTCAATGGCATCTATTTACCAATATAGTGAGTGCTTTATTGTGCTAAGTTTCCCCCCAAATTTACTGTTTTCTTAATAATAAGCACTGAAGATAATCACATTTTTAAATATTCAGCATGCAGTTGTCTATAGCAACAGCATTATTAATTATTCTCAGCAACCTTATGCCAAAGTAATATTATTCTCTGATCAACTGGAAAGAAAATGGAAGTTTGACTAAGTCTGTTTCTCTGGCTGAATGGCAATAAACTAAGGATGCTATGAAAACAGGGCTATTTCTTTTAGGGTCATCAAAGCAAACCATCAAACATTTTTTGATTTTTTTTCCCTTCAACATATTGTTTGTTTATTTCATTTTAAGCATTTTTTTTAAAAAAATAATCCCCAAACAAAGAGCATCTGACAATGTGTGTGATGTGTGGCTATGTTTTTGGCTGTCCCCAGGGTACCCTAGTCTGTAACCATAAAAAAAACTAGATGATTTATCAATCTCCCCAGACCCTTAGTCAATCCTCTATGGAATAGACAATAGCTGTACCTCACCCATTTTTTAGTTTAAAGTAATAGTTAAGGTCTTAAACCAGGGCTGACCAAACTTTCTGACATACCTCCCTTTACTGTAATTCTAATGTAAAGGTCTTCCCTAAAAATTCAAACACCAAAACGAACACAACCGAACAATGTAAACAATACAATGACATTTTGGGAAATGTGGATTTATTTTCACATCTTCCCTGGACTCTATCTGCACTTCCCCAGGAGAGGTACAACTGACAGTTTGGGAAACCTTGGATAAGACTTATGTATGACTAGACCCAGGTTTAAATTTAAATTTAAATAGTACATCAGTAGAGTCTGGACTACTCATTGGTGGGATCCAAATTTATGCTTCCATCAGTAGAAGCAAATCCACCAACTAATAGGAAGGAGGAGGTTTTCCTTTCTCCAGAGCAAGAAAATACAGAAATGTTCCACAAAAGAGCTGGAGAAAAATCCTGGTAAATTAGCAGGAATCTGGCAGCATGACACTATTTCAAATATCTAGCTACTTTGCAGGCTTCTTGAAAAGAAAAATGGAAGAGGGACCATATTTGCTCCTCTGAGGCCCTTGATGAAAGGAGGGATAGAGATGGCATTAAAAAAAAAATATTCCAACACTTTTTCTGTCTATATAGGCATATCATACAGTAATGCCTCTTGATAAACAGATTTCTGTAACATTTCAAAATATAGAACAAAGTTATGATTTGTCTGGAGACAGCACTCTCATTTGCAATGAGAGCAATCTATGAATAATTCTGTTACATAATTATTTTTTAAAAACCAAACAGTAAAATTTAACCATTGAAAGCAGGACAGAAGTTAAAACAGCACTGATATTCAAAAGGAAAGCATGAAAAGAGGGGCTTAAATGTCATCCTTTCTGACTTCCAGCAAATTTATCCAAATAATGTTTTCTCATAGCCCCAATGAAAAGCAGAAGCTCAGGAAGCCATCACTTATTCAATGAACTCATAATTAGAATTAAAATGTGAGGCAGAAATATATAGCTTTAATGTTCAAAATTCCCTTTGGGGAGTTTTTAGAACATCGAGCAAACTAATGTTAAGTGTTTGATATCTACTTTAATATACATAAGACGCAATCAGCAGTATCGTTTAATTGGTAAATATTCTAATAAATGATTAAAATTATGACCCTTCTTTCCAGAGCTCATTGTAATAAAGGAAGTTGGTAGCGTTGCCAACAAATTCTGTGACATTCAGAAATGATCCCTCCACACTTTGGAACACATGGCACTTTTGAGGAATGCAAATGCAGACATTTGCATTATAGTAAAATTTAAAATATTAAGTAATTTTGTGCCATTTAAAGGTTAAGCAAATTATCTTCCTTTCAAATCCAAATTTCCAGTAGGGGAAAAAATATTAATCCAGGGACAATGTGTAATACCTCATATGAGTTCAGGAAGACAGACCAAATGGTACTTTTGTGTGGGAGAATTATGTACTCAACTATTCATATTTGATACCTTTTCCCAGTATGACTTTTGTATTACTTGATAAAGGATCTTCCTCCTTTATTGTGAAATAAACACATACCATAATATTGCCAGCGTGAGACAGGTGCCACAGCTATTCCACACTTGAACACACCACTTCCAGCTCCGAGGACCATGGAAGTTACATAACCTCCGTAAGACTGAGAGAAAAGAAATATTATTATTTCAAAGAGACCAAGAGAGATGCAATATTCTTCTGAGAGAGAGAGAGAGAGAGAGAGGGAGGGAGGGAGGGAGGGAGGGAGGGAGAGAGAGAGAGAGAGAGGGAGAGTGTGTTAAAGAATAGCTTTGCTTGGATCTCAGATTGCTGAGTAATGAGGCAAGGCTTGCTCTGACACCACTTTTTTTGGTAATGAAACCCTTTGTAAAACTTGCATAGTACCTTCATATAAAGGGAGCCCCATTAGTCTTAGTTTCAAAAAGAGACATATCTAGGTTGGATTAGGCAGAATGAGACATAGTCACATGCTCTCCTTCATATTATATAGCTGCCAACTTGACATGCGACTCAGGGCAACCTGAATCAGGAGGGGTCTGGTAATTTCTGTTCTAATTAACAATTTTTACTAAAAGGCAAATATTTTGTCAGCAACAGTTTACTTCTTCATAACTAAAACTTCGATTGGTAGCTGCCCAGAGTTGATTATATGAGGAGTGGCTATATAAATGTTTTAATTAATTAATTAATTAACTGAAGTAGGAGTTAAGTTGTGATGAGGCTGGGACAGGGGAATTTAGGTTGGTTATTACAGATGCAGGTTACATATGACAGATTATAAGTAATAATTCTATCAATTAACAATTTTAATGTGTTAATAAAAAACATCGTGCTTGCTGAGATCTTTCGAGATAGCCTAAAAACATTTGATGCATTTGAGTTCAGCAATCTTTCACTTAAAGAGTGCTTGTGTTCCAAGATGGCCATTTTAAGGTCTGCAATGAATGTCCTCGGAGGCTGAAGTGCTCTCTATTATCTTGACCTTGTTTTGACTCCTGATGTCAAACTTGTGTCTATGAATATTCTGCATGTGTGTGTGTGCAAACTTTGTCCTACGTAGGTAGAGTGCAAAGGGGCAGATGCTGGTGCATATCACATTAGAGGAAGAGCAAGTGAAGGCATCTCTGATTGTGTAGGTGTACTTGTTGGGGGCCCACAATGGCGCTATTGATATAAATGTGGGGATAAGCTAAACATCTGGGTTTGTTGCAGGACCTGGTTCCCATCATTATCCTGTTGGTTTTTTTTGTTGCTTGTGAGAATCTGCTCCAGGTTAGATGGTTTTTTTGTATGCAAATGTGGGCCTGAAAAAATACAACATTGTCCTGTATGGGCTATAGCATATTAATAAGGCATTTGAGTGGTTTGTGCTCCGAGCTGGAGGCGGCAATGAGTGAAGCTCTGTTGTTCTGTTCTTGTGGTCTGTTTTTTAAGAGACCCTCCCTGGAAACTGATCTGCTTTTATAAATTTGTCTATTGATCTCATTGGATGGGGGGTTGAGTATCATGAATAGCTGGTTTAATTCCAACAGTTGAACATCTCTGCTAAACATAGCTTACAGCACAGAGACTGGCTAATAGAGCTATCATCTATAACCAGACTGTAATTGGAAAAGGTGCTTTTAACTCCTTTTTAAGTTGGCCTAGGCTAACATAGCTCTCCCACTGCAAGGATGAACTTGAGTATTTGTGCAAGGAGACATTCCCTTGTACCATAAAATATTGATATCACAAAAATATAATGATAGACCCAACCAATTTGAAATACAGTTAAATGTTGTAATTTCTAGCAACCTTCTATAGAAGCCAACTTACACTAGAAACACAGAAGAGGGCAGCGTGACAGACTAGATTCATAGATAGATTCAGTGTAAAACACAATGCAGCTTGCTTTATTTTGGCTTTTGTTGTGGGAACAAGCAATTAAAGTTCGCACACTATGCTTTATGGCTTAATGTAGTGTGTGAACCTATCCAACTATGGTTTACTCAATAAACTCTGGATAAGCAACTCATGGCTTAATGCAAAGTATGAACCCAGACACACAGTTATTGTGGCCACTAAAGAATGTGAGAATGTAGAAAAAGAGTCTCGCTGGATCAAGGCAATGGCCCAGCTGCTCTGGTTTCTATGTGTCTGAGCAGTCCATCAGATGGCATTATTATTATTATTATTATTACTTATTATTATTACTTTAATTTATACCCCGCCCTTCTCCCGAAGGACTCAGGGCGGCTTACAGGCAAATAAAAACGAAACTATACAATAAATATCTAAAAACAATTAAAATATATATTAAATAAGCCTGTTATTTTTAGAAAAGTTATAAAATCCCTATTAAAATCCCTATACAATCCCCCCCCTAGGCCAATCCCGCTT